AATGGGATTGCAGCAGGTTTCATTTTACACCATTATGATAGAATTAAGATGTTTATGAATTACAAAAACCAACATGTACTCATTTAGTAACTTATGTTAAATATACATGTTGTGTTATTTGCATGAGAGTCAATTGCTTTTGTAATGATTATTAATCTGCTCTACAAAAATTAGCCTATGCAATATGTCCAGCTTTTCGCAATTCTGTAATCACAAAAAGTCACGCAAAACAAAAAAACAAAACAGATTTGCACATTTTTAAAGCAAAATGACAAGAAAAAAAGAATAGCACTGAAATGGAGAGCCGTGAGCCACTGCAACTATACATGCTGCTATAGCACCACAGGGATGGGAAAAATAACACAAAGCCATTTGCACTCTTTTCTTGCTTTTGGTGTCAGCTGTGCCACACAGACTTGTTGCCATAGCAATTGATTGCATATTTCTTTGCAATTAATCCCAATACATTAATTGCATTGTTGTGAAACATTTCCCACACAAAGAACAGAACATTCAGTCTGTTGCAGTATTGTTTTCAGGCTTGATGTTTATATAGCTATTATTAATAAGTGATCATCTGAAGACAGTGGCAACTTTTTAGCTAATTTAAACACCAGCTCTGCTGATGATCTGTCAGTTATCCTGTGGGTTGCCTTTTTTTCCCCTGAAACAAAAGACAACACTGAATTCTGCAGTACAGCTACATGTTAAGGTTGTCAAAGTCAAGCTAGCATAACTGAGGGGGGGCAGCAGGGGGGAGCTTGCCATGTGACTTCACATTGTAATGTGTCTGTACAGTCAGTATCATACTGGTTACTAACAGGATTAAGCCAACCATTTGCTTAATCATGTCATTGTCCTTAATCTGTTTAAATAAAGGCTCTTAATGAGCAGATGGCTCAAGTAACAATGTATTCATTTTAATTCCCCAAGCCAAAGAAAGTTTTGAGTATTTTTTTCCTTTCACTGGCTTGTGGAAAAGGCTGAATCTTGTGCAATAAAGCAGCTCCAACAGGTGGATTTGTTCCACCATCTTTTACTTTTGGCACAGCAATTCCCCAGCTAGAACTTAAAGGAACAAACTCAAAATTTAAAAGTAAAAATTTTTTATCTGGACAAGTCTTTTTATAGACTTGAAATTTAGATGCCTACATGTTAACCTTTAGATCCAGCACTAAACTAAAGCATGGACTGAAACTAAACAGGACCTCCTGTAAGACATCATGGGTGTAGAAGGTGTTTGTGAAGGTTAGTTGAGGACTCACCATGCTGGCGAGGGCGAGCAGCGTCGTCTGGACCTGCGTCATGTTGCCGTTCTCAAACAGGTCATTGGCTTCAAAGATATCATGAGGCTTCAGGCCGTATATTGTGATGGCTTTGATGAAGTTGGTCAGGTTCTCCAGCTAGGACCACACCAAATCCAATGTTTATTCAAGATTTTCACTGTTTGCATGAGTTCTTTACTTTAATAAAAAGCTCAGACAGAAAGCCAGTTCTGCAACTAATCAGCAGGAAGCCATCATGACGAGGCATGACTTGGAGCACTGTTAATGGTCTTGTCTGTGTAACAAACAGCCTTCTGTTCTGTAAAGGAGCCACTCCTTGCAGTGGATCAGAAGAAAAGCAGATTAATTGCCAGCTAACTCACCTGATG